TATTGTTGGACTTCTGTGCTAGTCATATTTTTTCCATCACAAACACCATGTTCAGACAAAAGGGTGTCCATAAGTGCACTTGGCACGAGGACGCCTTAGGTTGTAGATCGATTATAGTCTTCATAGTCATGTCATCTGATTTGTGGCCCTTTGTTTTGGACACTCGGGTGAAGAGACGAGCTGAGCTGTCAACTGATCACCACCTGGTAGTGAGTTGGATCAGATGGTGGGGGAAGATGCCATACAGACCCGGTAGACCCAAACATGTAGTGAGGGTTTGCTGGGAACGCCTGGCAGAATAACCCATCAGAGAGATCTTCAACTCGCACCTCCAGGAAAGCTTTAACCACATCCCAGCTGAGGTGGGGGACATTGAGTCTGAGTGGGCCATGTTCCGCACCTCACTTGTTGAGGTAGCTGCCTTGAGCTGTGACCACAAGGTTGTCGGTGCTTCTCGTGCTGGCCATCCACGAACTCGGTGGTGGACACACCGGGTTAGGGAGGCTGTCAAGCTGAAGAAGGAGTCCTATCGGGCCTTGTTAGCCAGTGAGACTCTGGAGGAAGCTGAGGAGTACCGGAGGGCCAAGAAATCCGTTCGGATGTGGGAGGAGTTCAGTGAGACCTTGGATAACGACTCTCGGTCGACTCCGAGGAGATTCTGGCAAACCATCAAATGTCTGAGGAAAGAAAAACAGCACTTCACTAACACTGTGTTATTCAGTGAAGGTGCGCTGCTGTTGACCTCAACCAGTGATGTTGTCGGGAGGTGAAAAGAATACTTCTCGGACCTTCTCAATCCCACCAGCACGTTCTCCATGGAGGAAGCTGAGTTGGAGGATTTTGGGGTTGATCCATCCATAACTGTGGCTGAGGTCGCCAAGGTATTTAAAAAGCTCCGAGGCGGCAGGGCTCTGGGAATGGATGAGATTCACCCTGATTTCCTTAACATCCTCTGGATGTTGTGGGGCTGTCTTGGCTGGCACATCTTTGCAACGTCACATGGACATCGGGGGCAGTGCCACTGGATTGGCAGACTGGGGTAGTGGTTCCCCTCTTCAAAAGGGAGACTGGAGGGGGTGCTTCAATTATAGGGGCATCACTCTCCTCAGCCTCCCTGGTAAGGTCTATTCAGGGGTATTGGAGAAGCGAGTTTGATCGTTGGTCGAACCTCAGATCCAGGAGGAACATTGTGGGTTCCATCCTGTCCGTGGAACACTGGATCAGCTCTTTACCCTCACTAGGGTCCTTGAGGGGTCATGGGAGTTTGCCCATCCTGTCTACATGTGTTTTGTGGATTTGGAGAAGGCATTCGAACGTGGTACACTGTGTGTGTGTGTGGGGGGGGGAGTTGCTTCGTGAGTATGGGATTGGGGGCCCGTTGCTACAGGCTGTTCAGTCCCTATACAAGCGGTGCAAGAGCTTGGTTTGCATTGCTAGCAGAAAGTCGAATCCCTTCAGGGTGGGAGTTGGACTCTGCCACGGCTGCCCGTTGTCACTGATTCTGTTCATAACTTTTATGGACAGAATTTATCAGTGCAGCCAGTGGGCAGAGGGTTTCCGGTTCGGTGGTCTCAGGATTCCATCTCTGCTCTTTGCAGATGATGTGGTCCTGTTGTGCTACGATTTTCATCTCTTACTACAGCGGTTCGCAGCCGAGTGTGAAGCAACTAGGATGAGAATCAGCACCTCCAAATCTGAGGCCATGGTCTTCAACCGGAAAAGGGTGGATTGCTCTCTCCATATCGAGGGTGAGGTTCTGCCTCAAGTGGAGGAGTTCAATTAACTTGGGATTTTGTTCACGAGTGAGATAAAAATGGAGCGCGAAATTGACAGACGGATTGGTGCAGCATCTGCAGTATTGCTGACTCTGTACTGGTCCGTTGTGGTAAAGAGACAGCTGAGCTGTAAGGCAAAACTCTCAGTTTACCGGTCGGTTTACATTCCTACCCTCACCTATGGTTGCGAGCGCTGGGTAGTGATCAAAAGAATGAGATTGCGGATACAGGCAGTTGAAATGAGTTTCTTCTGCAGGGTAGCTGGACTCTCCCTTAGAGATAGGGTGAGAAGTTTGGTTATTCGGGAGAGACTCGAAGTAGAACCGCTGCTCTTCCACATCGAGAGGAGCCAGTTGAAGTGGTTCAGGCATCTGGTAAGGATGCCCCCTGGACGCCTCCCTAGGGAGGTTTTTCGGGCATGTCCGACTGGGAGGAGACCCCGAGGAAGACCCAGGACACTCTGGAGAGACTATGTCTCTCGGTTGGCCTGGGAACGCCTTGGAATCCTCCCAGAAGAGCTGGAAGAGGTGGCTGTGGAAAGAGATGTCTGGGCTTCCCTGCTGAAGCTGCTACCCCCGCGACCCGACTTTGGAACAAGCGGAAGATAATGGATGGATGGATTGATGGCAACCTTGACCTGTGTCAAGAGTGAGTCATAGACATAAATGGCGGAGAGAATCCGGTAATTTTTCAAAATAAAATGTCGTTCAGAATCAGATACTAAATAAAACAGAAATAATTTAAGTTATGTAATCTGTCTGTGCGTCCCGGTACCAATTGACCCACGGACCGGTAGCGGTCCGTGGCCCGGGAGTTGGGGACCTGTACTAACCTGCCCCTTTAGCGGGTGCACCTGTTCAATTAACACAAACTGTTAATCAGCCAATCACATGGCAGCAACTTAATGCTTTTAGGCATCTAGATATGGGTAAGACGACTGGTTGAAGTCCTAAGCAAGCATCAGAATGGGGAAGAAAGATTTAAGAGACTTTAAATATGGCATGGTTAGTGCCAGACATATTTTATTAACTGCTGATCTCCTTGGATTTTCACATCCAACCATCATTAGTTTAAAGAGAATGGTCTGAAAAAGAGGAAATATCCAGGGCGGTTATAAAAATGCCTTGTTAATGTCAGAGGAGACTGAGGGCTATGGCCAGACTGGTTTGATAAGAAGTCCTGAGGTAACAGGTCATGGTGAAAAGCTTGGACATCCCTCTGTCCAGTGACACTCTAGCTCATGCTGGGGGGGATTCCAAGGTATATTTCCTGACCATAGAGGATAAGATAATTATTTCAGCAGGCTCTGACTTGGAAGTTTTTCTGGAGGGATGTGCCTGAAAGTCCTCCATTGGTTGATAACCAGGAGTCATCCTGATCAGATTCCCAAACCACCTCATTTACTTAACTCACTTCAATATAAAAAGAAATGGGATTATTCCACCTTTTTAAGACCAAGTACCACGGCTTCATATTTGGAGGAGCTGATTCTCACTCTGCCTGTGTCACACTCTGCTGTGAAACCTACAATGAAACAAGAAAAAATCTGCACCGAAAACACCCTGGATGAAACTTACCAAGGAGGCTCAGCATTGTGATCACCTGATAGTCTGATCCTCCTTTTCATTTATTGGAGCCACTGTCCCGTCTGCTGCTCTTGTCTTGATCAATCATGCAACATTGAAGAGGCATGCTAATCCCAACAGACCCACAACATCCAGAACTGTATGCGTCTCAGGTTGACTCCTATCCACTCATGGCACCCAGTTGCTGAGAAGATTTTTAATTACCTTTGCAACCTCTGCCATGGTAATGGAGCTGCCTTTTTCTAAGTCTTCAGACTTTGTCTACTCAGTGGTGGATGATGAACATGATGGATGGCTTGAGGATGTTGTAAGATAAGGAGGATATATAGACAAAGTAAAAGTGACCTTAGCCCAAAACATTGATGAACACCTTGGTGACTGTGGAGGACACATCTTAAATTAAACAAAATACAGTTTGCCACATAAATGTGACTGAACTCTTTTCAATGCAGTACCCTTGAGTCCAATGAGATATTCCAGTGTCTACATTCAAATGATGTAATAAAGTGCCTGATGAAACATTGCTATCCAACAGGACCAGCGCAGATACAAAACTATTGGTAACCTTAGGAAGATCAGTAGTTACTCAAGTATAGTTTCAGTGCTGTGATGTCTTCTTCAAGGATACTAGAAACTTTATGAAAGTCATCTTTCTGGAAATGAACTATAATTTGTCCTTTACTTTGAACCAAAACCTAGTATTTTATTGTGAAACTGATCCAATATTTTATCAACTGTAGCTAACATCTTTTGTACCTTAGCAACAACACATTACTGCACCCAAAATAATGAAACTTTGTTGTAAAAAATGTTAAAGATCTTATGTTTACCATGCCTTTCATCTTAGATGGTTGTCTGATTCTGGAGAAGGCTGGCAACTGTTATCTGAGGCATTCTGTGAAACAGCTGTGACAGTGTAGGTTGCTTTAAAGGCTGTTGAGTCTCTAAAACCAATGCAAGAGCTGTATGTTCACCTTCAAAACAAAGTAAAACTTGTTCCAGTTCAGTTTGGATTCCACCAGCACAGCCCCTTGTCTCCAGTTTTGTTTATTTGACCTTGTAGTAATGAGAACGTTGCTTCAGTCTGTTGTGGTGAAGAAGAAGCTGAGTTGTAAGGCAAAACTCTGTTTAGTGACCTTCACCTATGCTCCTGAGGTATGGATGATGACAGAAAGAATGATCCTGGATACAAGTGGCTGAAATTAGTTTTCTCTGTAGATTACCTGGGCTCAATCTTAGAAATGGGGTGAAAAGTATAGTCATCTGAGGGGATCAGCTGAGGAGGTGGTTGGAGCATCTGATACAAATGCCACCTGGTGGACTCCCTCTTGCAGTCTTTAAGGCACGTCCCACTACGAGAGGACTCTGGACCTGACCCAGAACTCGCTAAATGACTCATGTCTCTCTGGCCTGGAAATGCCTTGAGTTCACCCAGGAGGAACTGGAGAGTGTCAATTGGGAAAGGGATGGCTAGGTTTCCTTCTTGAAACTGTTGCCAGCCTGACCTCGGATAAATGGATGGATGGAAGAATGTATGAACTTTACATATATTTTGCAATTAGATTTACAAACTTTATGTATTAATTTAGATGCAAACATTTTAAGGTAAAAGTTGTTCAAAGTTTTCTTTCTCATGCAGATAGAGCACCTCAATCGTCATCTAGAAGAGAGTGAGAGAGCTTTGCAGGATCGTATCTTCAAACTTGAAGGACAGAGGATACAATTGGAGGAGGTCAGAAAATCGTTTTTCATGGTACTATGGAGAGGCTTGAAAATCTGACATAAATAAATGTTTATCATTAACTTCACTCTTTAGTAGAAAACAACTGTCAACATTCTTTTTTATCTGTTTATACCATTTTTACAAAGCAGGACAAAACCTAAATAGTTTATAAAACAAAATGAATGCATTTGACCTTATATAATAGTAAAAATTATTGACATTGTAAAGTTCTGACAGTACTTGTTCTCACAAATTGTCATACTTAAAACAGTGTTGACCAAATGGTACACCAAGACTTTGACAACTTTGGGTGTATCTATGTAGACATTTACATTCAGTTTATTATAAAAACATCCCTTCATACATTTTTATGGTAATGCATTATCTTTCTATTGAAGGAGCTAAGCAAAACTAAAGCAGCCAACATTACAGAGAAAGCCCAAGCAGGGGAGGAACTGGGAAGAACCATTGCTCAAGTGCGTCAGGAGGAGGTTGGTTCAAAACATCACTTTTTCACACTTTCCTGTTCACACATGCACTTCACAAAGACACATTCTGTGCTGAATATACGCACATTCTTACAGCTGGAGATGCAAGGAAGGGTACAGAACACACAGCATGAGGTGAACTATTTTGATTTTAGTTATGTTTAAAGGTACTGCAATAGTTTATAACAAGTCAACTCGGTGTGACAAAAACAACAAAACATGTTCAAATCAAATTATACATACAGTAATTCAATTCCCAGTCAAATCCATATTAAAAATATACTTAAAATATTTAAAAAATATATTAAAAAGCTTATAAAAAATGTATTATAATTTCGAGTAAACAAATAATTGTTTTTAAGTGTTAATCTTGTTAAATGCTTGTTAAAGTCCTCCCATGCACGCTCGCACGGCCGCCATTTGGCAGCCAATCGATTTTTGGCTCAAAACCGGCCCACATTTCCAGGTGGTCAGCTGTGACACTTAACAAATGTGACGCATCAGCGGTGATGCATAATAGATGCGACTTATACGGCAAAGTGACTTATTTATGTGGTTTTTTTTCCACTCTATTAGACATTTTTGGACAACGGCAAGTACGGTAATTTGTGATAATGGTCTATTTACACATGTTCCATATTCCTTTCATCTGGTGATGAATTTAACAGAACTCCTGGAATGTTTAGGACATTGGAAATACTTTTGTATCCATCCCCTGACTTGTTTTATTTTTCAATAATCTTTTCTCTGAGTTAAATCAGGACAGTCACTTTAAAGGGGGTAAATATTTATGCAATTACTTATTTTAAATTTCATAGACATGATTCCGGTAAGATGGCACTCGTGTACATGGCTTGCAATCCACCTCTGCTGATAGTGTTCGGATTATTTTCGTTTTGTTCATTTTTTTATCTGTGACATAAACGCACTACTGATGTATGACCGACAAGAGCTTCTGGATCTTCGTTTTTCTGTCATCGATGTCGCTTATTTGGAACAATATGAGCGTACCTCTGGACACCCCCCCCCCCCCCCCCCGCTAGCTTACCTCCGCTGTGCTCCTCACCTGCCTGCCCGGAGACATCGCTTCAGACTCCGGGGAAAACGTGCTGGGCTGCTGGCAAAGTTTAAAGCCCAGCACGCTGCATCTTCCTCTTCAGCTGGTGGTCATGGTTTCCATTGCCAGCTTCCCGCGTGCCCGGACCAGGTAAACAACGGGAGTTGTCAGCCGGTGCGCAGCTCGGACTGACCCGGAGGGGCTGTTATTGAAAATCTGAAGCCACTGATGCGCACGAACTTCACAGCTGCTGGCTCCACTTTGAACAGTATCCGGTTGTGTTTGGTCAACGCAAGATCTGTTACCAACAAAACTTTTAACCTCAGGGACCACTTTCAAGAGCTCGAGTTGAACTTTTTCTGCATCACAAAGACTTGGATGTCTCTGGGTGAGTCCAGCACCTTGACGGAATTATTGCCACCGAACTATCTGTATTTTAACGCACCGCGGCCATCGGGCCGGTGCGGTGGTGGATTATTAACAATATTCAAACCAACTTTTGACTGTAAACAGCTGCCCATCCCAGTTTCCCGCGCCAGTTTTGAGATGAGCATCTTTGAACTCGGCCATTTGCCTCCGACGTTATGTGCGCTCGTCTACCGCCCACCTCGATCTAAGGACTTCATAAATGAGTTTTCTGACTTCTTGGCTGAAATCACACAAAAATATGATCATGTTTTCATTTTTGGGGACTTTAATTTGCACGTGTGCTGTCACGAAAAGCCCTTGGTTAAGGACTTTTTAGATTTATTGGACTCATTTAATCAAACTCAGCATGTAAACGGTCCCACCCAAGAGCGCAGACATTCACTGGACCTTGTTTTAACTCGTGATGTGACTGTTAGTAATCTTGAAATTGGTGATAATGTTTTTCAGACCACATGCCAGTCCGGTTTGAGTTCACCCTCCTCCATCTAACTCCTAAGCTGTGCATTCCTGCACGTTGCAGCCGGACCATTAATCATTTCACTGCTGCACGTTTCACAGATGTTTATAACTCTGAAATGATCATTCAGCCCCCGGTGTTTCTCACCACCACTGAGGAGCTGACATCCAAGTTCAACTCTGTCTGCTTAAAGACTCTGGATCATGTTGCACCTGTTAAAACCAAAAAAATCAAAACTCAGAGCAGAACCTTGGCTGAGTGACGTCACCAAGGCCGTTAGGCAGCAATGTAGGAGGGCGGAGCTAAAGTGGAGAAAAGACAGGCTGCAGGTCTCTTTCCAAATACTTAAAGAGAGTTGGCACTGTTATCAGAAAGCAGTGAAAGCTGCTAAATCCAAATACTTATCTGATATAATTACCTCAAACTCTCGCAACCCACGTGTCCTCTTCTCCACCCTAAACTCTGTTCTCCACCTCACTGAACCATCACCTCTGGAAGCCTCGATTGAGCTGTGCGAGAACTTCTTACATTTCTTTTTGGAAAAAATTGCGACCACTCAGGCTCTCATTTCCCCTTCAACTCATGACCCATCCATCCCACCTCAATCTGTAGCTCCATTTGACCATTTTGAACCCATCACTCCATCTTCTCTGGAGCAAGTCATGTGCAGCTTGAAATCTTCTGGTTCCCCTTTGATGTGGTCCCCCCTCGACTACTAAAGGAGGTTTTTCCTACTCTAGGTCATTCCATTCTTACTATAATAAACAGTAGTTTAAAATCCTTTAAACATGCTGCTGTCCAGCCTCTCATGAAAAAAACAAACCTTGACCCCTCAGTCGTATCCAACTTCCGGCCTGTCTCCAGACTCCCATTTGTTTCTAAACTACTGGAGAAACTAGTCGAGTCCCAGTTGAAGTGCTTCCTGGAGGGTCACGCCATCTTAGAGCTTTTCCAATCTGGCTTTAAACCTCTCCATAGCACCGAAACTGCCCTGCTGAAGGTCTTTAACGACATCTTCAGATCCACAGATACCGGTGATTCTGTGCTGCTTGTCCTGTTGGACCTCACAGCCGTCTTTTACACCATCGACCTTGAGATCCTCATTGCGAGGTTGGAGCAGTTGGTGGGCATCACAGGATCAGCCCTCAGTTGGTTCAGATCTTACCTCACTGACAGATCCTTTTGTGTCTCCATCAAGGATTTTAGTTCTGCAGTGGCAGAGCTTAAATGGGAGGTTCCGCAGGGGTCCATCCTGTGTCACCTCCTATTTTCTTTATACCTGCTGCCACTTGGTGCTTTTTTCTGGAAACAAAACATGCCCTTTCACTTCTACGCCGATGACTGTCAAATTTACTTCCCCCTAAGACGCAATGGCACATGCTCTATTCAACCTCTGCTCGACTGCCTGGCTGACATCAGGGACTGGATGGCTTTAAACTTCTTACGTTTCAATGAAAAGAAGTCTTAAGTCTTGTTGTTCCCTCCCAATGACATGATCACAAACCACTGCATCGACCTTTCCGCTCCAACCCTGTCAGAAAAACAAATAGTCACTAACCTGGGAGTGATAATGGACCCTTCCCTGAAACTTAACAATCATGTAAACATGATCGTTAAATCATGTTTCTTCCAACTGAGGCGGCTGTCTAAACTGAAGCCCATATTGTCCAAAAATAACCTGGAGACAGAAATACATGCATTCATTACGTCAAGGCTTGATTACTGCAATTCGCTCCTGTTTGGTATCAGTCAGACCTCCATTGCACGACTACAACTGGTCCAGAATGCAGCAGCTTGATTTTTAACCAGTACAGGCAAAAGAGAGCACATTACACCAGTTTTGGCCTCACTGCACTGGTTACCGGTTCACTTTCGAATCCAGTTCAAAATACTCCTGTATGTCTACAAATCACTGAACAGTTCCCCCCCCCCCCCCCCCCCACATCTCTCTGATCTGCTACAACCGTATGTCCCACCACTTTCCCTGAGGTCAGCGGACCAGTTGCTCCTCACAGTTCCAGGAACTAGTCTTAAGCGCAGAGGTGACGGGGCCTTCTCTGTAGCAGGACCAAGACTTTGGAACGAGTTACCTCTGCTTGTCAGACAGGCCCCCTCCCTCTCGGTTTTCAAGTCCCGTTTAAAAACTCACTACTATTCAGTAGCTTTCAACACCAGATGATCTGTGTTTTGATCCTGTATGCTCCACACTGGTTTGTCGTCATTATCTGCATCGTTTTATGTCTATATTCTGATTTACCTCATTTTGTATTTTGCTTTGTGTGTTACCTGTTGTTCTGTCTATACAGCACTTTGGTTGGCCTTGTCGCTGTTTTAAGTGCTCTATAAATAAAATGGTATGGTATAATATGTTACTATAGGCAAAATGGTGAGGGACAAACCATTCAAAATGAATCAAACAAACAAAACAATGAAACAGATATCTAAATGACAGAGAAGAAAACCATGAACTAGTTCCCTTAGCCCAGCAGCTTGTCACCCCATGGCTCAGCCAAGGTCTCTGCCCAGGATTACGCCACTGGCTCATCTACAGCACCTGTCTGAAACCATGTTGCCACTATGCTATACTCCTGTCACCAGGGGGGTGCAGTGTGACTCTGCTGCTCCAAGCTACTGCTGATTGGGGCCCTAGCCCAGCACCTCTCCATGTACAAAGCCAGTTGTTGGAGTTACTGCCAGGCCAATACTCTAACAGTCTTGCTTTGCTTTGCATTTAGTTTTACCTAGTTTCTCTTGAAGGTTCAGGCAGTAAAACTAATTGATCCTGATATAGCAGTAAAACATACAGTAGGTTGTCACTTGTAACATAAATTTCCTTAATCATTAACGTGTCCCACTATATTGACTCAATATGTTTTCCAGTATAAATCAGATAAAATGTCTGAGAGGTCAATCAAAATCTCAAGATAGGGATCTAGTGCAACACACACACACACACACACACATTTCTATTTTGTATCAAAAATTTGATGGTCATAGCTTTTATCAAAGAAGGTGCTGAAAAACAGGAAAAAATCTTACAATAACTTGGTTAACTGCATTTTTCTGTATTTTAAATTATTCACCATGTAACATCAACATTACTTTTTCCCTGCACAGCACTTACGTTTCATCTTCCTTCCGTTGAGAAGCAGGAACGTGTGTCTTCCCTGGAGGAGAAGCTCCGCTCTGTGCGTTCATCCATGCAGGAGATGCAGCTCCGCGGCTCCCAGCAAAAACAAACTATTTCTGAACTGCAGGCCAAGAACAGCCAACAGACCTCAGAGATGGACAGCTTGAGGCGAAGGATGGACGAGCTACAACAGGTCAGAACTCACCAGCTGCATGTTGTGGGCCTCATCAATCCAGTCTGTCTTGTTGTGTGTTCAGTGTTTAATCAGATGGTGGCCCACTTGAATTAAAGCATTTTAATTGTCACACAATACATTATGTTGATGTAGATATTTTTGTTAAAGTTAGAATCAGACCAAAGAAAATCTACATATTATGTTAACATATTTGAAAGTTCCAAGTACATACTACTGGTTTCATCAAATGAACTTTGACTGTTTTTATTGAGTGAAGTTTTCTTGAGCCGCAAGGTATTATTATGCAAAGACAAGAAGTAGAAATGGAAGTCAAAAACAGAAACAAAACACAAATGAAAACGATTCCTGACTGTATTCGAGCAGAGCTCATGTTCATGCACATTTTATCACAACTACAAGCAGGTCTCCACAAATGGCCAAAGTTGCTGTTTTCCATGTAAACACAACACACATTCTGGGTTCGCCATCCCCACTTTGACTGTATGAGTCCTCGAGGCTCAGTGAGACTAAGGGTGCATTCACACCAGCCCTGTTTAGTTCGCTTTAATCGAACTCTAGCTTGTTTTTCTAGAAAGTCCGGTTCGTTTAGGGAGGTGTGAACGCGCCATCGAACTTTGTCACGGAACAAAAAGGCGAACTCTGGCTCGGGCTAAAACCTAGGTCTCGGTCCGGTAGAAGCGAACTCCAGCATGGTCGAGTGCAGTGTGAATGTAAATAGACCGAGCCCCGCTCTGCAGGACAAACAAACACACATTTCTCTGACCTTATATGGAGCCGTCAGCTGCCTTGTGTGGAAAAACAACATTCTCCATGGTCTTCTGTCTCATCTTCTGCTCATGCTAAGTCCATTTTTGAAAAATGACAAAATATAACTCCTAAAACTGCTAAAACTTGATGCCACTTCGTTTTTATTTTTATTTACAGAAGAAGAAGAAGTGTCTTCAGAGGTTTTTGTGTCGTTTCTTTCAGTAGTTCTAGGTGCAGCACCCCCACAGGTGAGCGGGGGAATAGGTTGGTTCAACAGGTTGACTCGACTGTACAGTGCAGTGTGAATGCAAACGCACCAGCTCAAATGTAACAAAAGGTCATGAATATTGGTCCCAAACCGAACCGAGTCTACCGGACTATCTGGTGTGAAAACAACCTAACCTGTATAAATAAAAGCTGAATAAATGTTGACACGCTGTTCTCTGGACTTTGATTACAAGTGTAGAACATGTAAGCCAGGTAAAAAAAGACCCCATACTGCCATTATTTTCCAGTGCAAATAAATAAAACTAAAACTTTGAGAGTTTTCAAATCCTTGTAACCTTCTCACCTGTTGTGTTATTACAACTAAAAATGCTTGGATTTTATGTGATAGATTAGCAGAAAGTAGCACATAATTGTAAATGAACTGACCACTAATGTTCTGTGACAAACATTAGGCCCCCACAAAGCAGCTGGATTTATACTGAGATGAAATCACACACTGGGGGGACTGTTTACTAATTAGATGATGTCTGAAGGAAACTGGATGCATTGGACTTTAGTTAGAGGTATCAGAGTAAAGAGTGCTGAATACAAATACGTGTACAGTACATGCCACACCTCATTCGTGGACAGGATCTCAAGGCGCAGTCGTATGGAAGGTGTCTGGTTTGGGAACCTCAGGGTCTCGTCTCTGCTTCATGCAGATGATGTGGTTCTGTTGGCCTCATCTTCAGCATTCACAGCTGAGTGCAAAGTAGCTGGGATGGGAGTCAGCTCCTTTAGGTCAGAGGCCATGGCCATGGTTCTCAATCAGAAACGAGTGGAATTCCCCTTTTGGGTTGGGGAGGAGTGACAACTTTGCCTCTGGTGGAGGAGTTCAAGTATCTGGGCGTCTTGTTCACGAGTGATAGTAGGATGGAGTGAGAGATGGATCTACTGATTGGGGCCTCATCCTCAGTAATGAGTGCATCGCTTCAGTCAGTCGTGGGGAAGAGAGAGATGGCCGCGGATTGGTAAACAGTGCTTCACCAGGCTTCCATCAGCCTTGCTGAAAAACTGCCTTTCATAATTATATCCTCACTGCCTCCACGCTGGATTCTGCCTCTGAGGTTGCTGTTGTCGCATGATTGACTCAAGGGAGTTGTAATGTGGCTTCTAAGTTAAAGAAATTTAAAGCTATGGAGTCTCTGCCCGCATGGTCTGTTGTCACAGCTACAGCCTCGGGCCGCCTTGGCTCCGAGGCGGCAAGTGTAGTAGGTGCAGCAGCAGGTGCATCATCCCCACCCTCACCGGGCAAATTACAGGCAGTAAGAGCAGAGCTTGATGGTACCACTAACAGGCCTTAGAGCAGAGTTTGACCAAGTCAAGCTAAGTGTAACAGAGACTGAAAATGGGCTGTCTGTGTGCTCAGATGAGGTAGAGACTGTGTGTGGCCATAGTGGAATTGAAGGATGAGGTGAATGGGCTGAGGAAAAAGCTTGAATCCATGGAGGGGGATACGAAAAGGAACAATATATTAGGATTATTGGAGTTCCTGAGTTGCTGGGCTCGTGCACACCTACAGTGATAGCCAAGATGCTATCGGAGGTGCTGAAGCTGGACAAGTCACCGCTGATCGACCACGTACACTGAACACCAGACAGGAGAGGCTTGGGTGATAAATCAAGAGCTATAGTAGTCAGACTGCATTATGATCAAGATTGTGTGAAGATATTACAACGAGCACACAGAGGTGGCCTGATCCACTACAAAAAAATCATCCATATTCATCACAGCTGATTAAACCCCGGGAGTGGCAAAGGCACGAGCGGTGTTCACAGAGGTGAGGTGTCTCCTGTGCGACCAGGTGTCCGGTATGGTCTTCTTTTTCCTGCATGGCACATCACGCATGGTGGGATGGACAAGGTGTTTGTCAACTCCATTAAAGCGATGGAATACATCAAGAGGAATGTCATTCCAGCGGCAAGGTGTGGATGAAACGATAGGGATGGCCTCCTTCAACCAGCTTTTTTGTTAAGCTTGTGTTTGACTCAATATTTGACTGTTAGGTCCTTTATTGGTGGTATGTACAAAATTTTATTTGTATTGAAGGGTGATTTTACAGAGTTAATGCTCTGAATTCATTGCTGTAAGTTCTGGTATATAGTGTGCACACTAATATGGGAATATTTTTCTTTTTTCTTTCTTTATTTATATTTTAGGTACACATTTGATATTTAAGGTAATATTTGCATATTTTGTTGTTTTTTTTGTTTGTTTGTTTGTTTTTTGAATTGCTATTACTCATCATATGTGGGCAGACGGGAGCCCAAATGGTCGGTTTGTGTTCTCTAGTGTAAGCACTAATGTGCGACTTTTCAGTTGACAGTGGTTTGTGTTCTCTCTGTGTTTGGATAGGAGAGAGGAGTGGGTTTATACCAGATCCGTCTTTTGGGGTTTTTGTTTCTTCTATCAAGTACTGGCTTGTGATATTTTGTGTGTAAATTATTTCTTGCTGTTCAACTATGACCAGCATTAAGGATGTTGGCCACTCTAGTGGCTGCCCAGTTAAATGTGTAAGCTAGAATATGAAATCCCTTAATGGTCCAGTAAAATTTCAGAAAATTTTGTAACACCTAAAACAGCTGAACACTGATATTGCGTTTTTACAGGAGACCCACATGCGTTCTACAGACAGTGGAAAGTTTGTTTAAAACAATGTTATGTTCAAGTGTTTCAATCTAATTTTCAATCCAAATCAAGAGGGGTAGCTATTCATTCATTCATTCATCTTTTATTTATACAAGCTAGTCTCATTGAGCCACGAAGACTCATTTACAAGAGGGATCTGTTACAGACAGAACATATGAAGTACAGACAACAATGACTATAAACTACAGTAAAATGCAGTTAAAATAAAAGTAGTGATATAAAACAATACATCAGGGTGCCATAAAACAAGGTAAAATACTACAAACAAGAACATATCTGCATTGATTATTCTATTGAGATTATCAAATGTTTAAAACCCCTTAAATAAATTAAGGTGGACAACTTCAGTTCTTGTTGCAAGGTGTTCCAAGTTACAGGAGCTGAGTAGGAAAATGCCTTTTTGCCAAGTTCAGTCCGCACTGAGGGGACGCTGCAGGTAATGATGTCCTGAGAGCGCATGTTATAACTGCACTGACGGCGTGACATGTGGGAGGAGATATAAGACGGTAGCAGACCAAGGAGTGATTTATAGATTAAAATGTACCAGTGAAAGAGCCTATGTGTAGATAATGACCAACTGACCAATGAGTTAGTCAGAGTCAGAGAGGTTGTATTGTCATTTCAGCTACGTACAAGTACATATTGAAATGAAACAGTGTTCCCCAGGATCACGGTGCAACATAGAATACATGCAAAACAAAACAACACAGTGCAGATATGCAACAGAACAATAAATACAAACAGACCTATAATAAATGCAAAAATACATCTAACCTAATCTAAACATTCTAATCTAAACAAGATTACATGAGTACAGTGATGGGTACGGTGGTTACAACCAGTTATGAATCTTAACGCACCATGGTAGACAGCATCCAACATCTGCAAGCAGCTGGCAGGGGCATTCATGTAAACACTGCCACCGTAGTCAATGGCCAGTAGGAAGGTAGTAGCTACAAGGCGTTTTCTGGCATTCAGAGTTGAGCAAGATCTATTTCTAAAAAAGAAACCCAGTTTTAATTTCAGGTTGATTTTTTTTACCAAGTTTATCAACTTTCTATCAACTATTATCAACTGTCTTTATCAACTATTACAGTTGGCAAGCAGGTACAATTTACAGCCTTGAGTGTGCATGCTGATACTGCCGGGCGGTATAATAATAATGATAATATTAATAATAACAATAATAATAATAATAATAATAATAAAGTGCTATGGGTTGTCATCATTGTATGTTCCCATACAAAGACAAAATTGACTCTCTGCATTTAACCCATCGCACCTGGGATACACCCAGGTGGAGCAGTGGGTAGCTATGTAATCGCCCTGGGAGC